TAGATAGATAGATAGATAGATAGATACGCTCAAAGTGGCTGAAGCTAAGAAATGCTTCGCTTTTGTCATAGTATTTTCAGAATTACCCGCGAGATGGCGCAATGAGCGCGCGTCGTCGCATCAAGACGAGCGCCAATGGGTCGTCATCTCCTAAGCGTACAAACTTAGCCCCGCAGAGAGGGACGGGGTGCGCCTGTTAGCTTGCGCTTACCTTTCGGTACAGAAGAATCGTAGGCCTTTGGCTTTCACCGGAACGATTGCGTTTTAATTGGCGGGCACAGAAAAGTCACTTCGCTCGCTGTACAGGCCCCGTTTGCGAAAAAAGAGCGCGTTTTTACACACTGCCAATTAACAACTGAAACCCTTGTTAGTTCACACTCTCTGTACCTGTGATTACGTTTCGTGCATCGTTTGTGCGTGAGCAGGGCGCTGCACGTTTCAATCTGCTTGTCGTTATAGGCGTTACATTTCAAGGTGTTGCTATCGTAATCATTGCTTCGTTGATGCGGCGAAACTGTGACTTTTCTCGAGAAGAAGGCCAAGGGATGTCAGGTGATGTCCACGCATTGCGTGAGGGTAGAGCTGATGGCGAAGCTAGATACGTCCGTGACAAGTCTCAAGGACGCGTCTGGCACGGGATGGGTGAGGATAGTGGTAGTGCAGAGGGTGGGTTCGCATTCTTCGAACAGTGCATCGTGCTCCCAACCGGGCGGCAGAAACTAGGCGCCTTCTTTTTTTTCTAACCACTACCACATCCACGTTTTTGCAAACGCCCGTGTTACACGTGGCAGGTAGGTTTCCTCGTAGCCCAGCCAAAGCATCAAGGAGGTGAGCCTGCTGTTCGGCTGCGTGTGACAAAAACTCTCTGTAGAAGTTCAGCATGCCACTGAAACGGTGAAGGTCTTTAGCGGCGGTGGGTCGAGGGTAATTTTCCATGTACGAGATGCGTTGGTGCAAAGGCAAAGTTCCCTCACAAGAAATTCTGTCACCAAGGAAGCGGACCGTGGAAGCACCTAGAGTACTTTTCGAGTATTTACGAGTGGACCGTTGTCGTCGAAGTGTCCGAAAGGCAGATGAAGGTGCCTGTGGTGCTCTTGGGCGTCGTGAAAAATGCCCTAATGTGTTCAACGTAAACGAAGCAGAAGTCAAGGCTGTAGATGACTTCATCAATGAAGAACTGAAATGTTTGGCCAGCATTCCACAGGCCGAAGCCGATGAAGGGAAAGAATCTGAAATGTGGGGGGATTGGCCGTCCTCAGGACGTCATTTGAATTCACGGGTATCTGTGTAGGGCTTCATCAAGTCTAGCACAGAAAACACGGGGGAGCCATGAATGTGATGGGCGAAGTATATAGTGGACGGGGTACCTGAGCGCCCGTCGAAGGCGCGGTAGTCCCCACAGGGCTGCCATCCTTCAGTCTTCTTCAGATCAAGGAGGAGTGGCGAAGCCCATGAACTGTCTGAACGCGGGCAATTCCTTTGTGGAGCATGGGCTTGAACTCCGCTTTGGCTATGCGCATGCGGTCCGGGGCAAGGCGACGAGCACGGCAGAAAACGGGGGGAGGGGGGGCTGGAGTGCTTCAAGTGTAGTGTATGGTAATGTGCTGCATTTTGCGTGGCAGCCCGCTGGGGCGTGTCAATACAGGAAATTCGACGAAGATGGCATAGTAAGGCGTGATTGTCGACACTTAGTATTTTGATGCTTGGCTGATGGGTGGCCGTTCACTGGCCTGGTGTGGAATGCCTCAATGTCGCGTCATTAGCCGGTCTTTGCGGCAGCCCGGAAGGAGGTTGCAGTTAAGCAGAAATTCTGAGCGAAAACCTCTGTATCTGTTCCTGCCTTTTTCTCTCTAATGCCTCGTGCTACAAAACCTTCTTTAAAATGCATCACCAAGAAGCCCACTTTGCAACTCAAGTCCAGGTTGGCAGCTCGCGGCCGTCCCTGCAAGCTGTTGTTGGCGTTTTCCTCATGACGAGTGGAGCAAGGTGTTGGGCATTGTTGGGCGCTGTCCTCAAAGCGTTGATGGTAGAAAGAAGAAACGTTCTCAACAGGATGCTGCCTTTAGGTGGTTTGATGGTTACGGGTTTAGGAGTGGTGCTTGAGAGCGTCGTAAGATATTGGTCTATGTGTCGTTGAATGGGTATCAGCTCCCTATTGATTTCGTCAATGCGGCGTACAAGGTCCGTGGTGTTCGGTGCAGTGGCAACAGCATGGATGGAGAATGATGGCTGTGGCAACGCCTCCTCTATTTCATGAATGTCAGCAAGATGCGCCCGATTAAGCCGTTCACCACCCTCTCCTCAAGCTCTGTCCTGCTTTCACCCATCGCCTAGCCTTCGAGTATGCTTTGCGGTAATGGGGAAGAGAGCGCCTCATGCAGCGCATCACGGCTGTTGTTGGTAGAAGATTTTTTGATAAGTCTTACCAATATGTGCGAGGCGGCGCTTTAAAACTTTCTTGATTATCGTGCTAGGCTGTCCGGCTGGGCGTTGAGGAGACGTGACGTTTGTGGCTGGTGCGTCTCCATTCCGCCAGCGGCATGGCACAACGTGCGCTGCCGATGAAAACTTGCAACGTTGCGCTGCTTCGGCAGCGCAACGTGTGCTGTTGAAGACAGTGTTGCTGAATGCGCCTGGTTTAAAAAAAAAGTGAAAGGGCGTAGTGTGGCACTTATTTGATATGCTGTTCCAGCACGCCTAAATGGCGTTGCGGTTCTTCGCCACAATATTGAATATCAGTAATAAATGAGAGCTTAGAGTTCGTTATTCCAGCACTAACTTGTTTTGAAGCACTTGTTCCACAAGTTGCAATACATGCTATCAACATCTGTAACATAATGGTACCATCCAACCATCGCTTAGTATCCATCGTAGTCACCGAGAGCCCGTTCAAATAACCTACGTGCGTGAGAAGACTTCGCTAATTTGTTCAACTTACATTTGAGGGCACTCAAAGCACCGCTCGTTAGGTGGCCATCACGTGGTATTTTCATTAGTTTAGCTCACTTTAAATAAACCCTGGAAAAAATAACGAGTGTTTTTATCTTGCCATAATTTATATTTTTATTTTGTGATGAGAGCTACAAATCTTGTATTAAATTTTCTTCTCTAGAGTCAGTATTTAAAAAGTTCATGAAGCAATCTGCCGCAATTACCGTACTTGGTGGATCAAAAAAAATTGACGTGCTACATACAACAAGGAACAATACTGCACTAGCTAGAGACGCGTACCTGTAACTTTTAAAATTTTATTGCTTCGTGTTTTCTAGCTGGAACACTCTGTATAGAGGAGGAACACAGTGTCTGCCACTTCTGGGGGTGTCGACAGGGATGCTCTCTCAGGCGAGCGCGTGACGCAAGCAGCACTGCCACTAAAGTAGAGTCACACAACGACAACTGTTTGAACCAAGGGGAACAAATGGCACCAATTCAAGCGCCAGCGTTTGCACTGGTATTGATAGAATGGAGGAGGCGCTGGCTGTGGCAAAAATACCTCGATGATGCTCTCAGCGATCAGGGCAAGCTGATCGAGAGGTAGCGTTAGCTGTGGCTGATTAATGACACTGACGTGTGAGGGAAGTGCAGCCAAACTGCTCGCAGGAACAAATCTTGGACTTTAATGTTGCCTGCGAGAGAACGCATGTGGCGACGAGTTGCGAATGCCTGCGCTCGAATGACTGACTAAAGTTGTCGCACCTTCTGGTTGTCAGAGAGTGGAAGGCGGCGTTCAATCTTGAGATGTTTGGCAGGGTTATTCATTTGTGAGGACGCGTCCGACTCCGTTGGCGTAGCGGGCGTCGTGGTGACCAACTCGTCACTTGAACGTTGACGTTAGCGAAAACCTTCGAAGAACCCTACGAAACAATTCTATTGCGTTGTCCCTGATGGCCGATAGTGCTACAGCCATATATCAGGCACTGCAAAGACGCTTTTCAAGGAACAGCGACATCTTTAGCAGAGAGGCGATAACCGACCAAGGTCCCCGTCATTGTGACCAATGCGAGACAAAAAAAAAGCTCCAATGAAAGGTCAGCAGACAATCTTATCGCACTAAGGGTGCATGGCGTGCTATTTGTCAGGCCTGTTGTCAATAGTTATCAGTGAGTAAATCGAAGACTAGAGGAGACTTTTGCACATCTTACACGTTGTTCAGCAAGTCGATCCCGAGATCGTGTATAGTACAAACCACTGAAATCAATGCGCTAAAGAATGTCTTGCTGCTGTACACACTATACACTTAGGCAGAGGCACCGTACGGCGTTAGAAGACTGCGTTATAATATAAAATAAGCCTGCGCTGAAAAGAAATTCTTAGCATTCGTGTGTCACTTTATATCATGCAAACATGACCAAACATGGCGGTCGTATAACTGCCATCAAGTTTTACAGTTCTTCATGTCACAAAAATCGCTGTGGCATAGAGGTACAGTAGGCATCCACACCATTAGACAGCGTAGCTGACAGGACGAGTATGGAATGAATGCGTGTCTATGAGGCTCAGCCTCTTGCTATATCGATCGTCTTTGGCGACTTCATCAGCGCCTGTGCGAGGGAATGCGAAGTAATAGAAAATCCGATGAACAGTGACGCATGAGACGTGCATTTTAGAGGGTTTACAGCGTGAGCGCGTAAGTGCTGGAGTGCGCAATGAAAGGTGACGAGGCCAATGAAGAAAAGTGACAGTCTTAATTTTGATTGTCGCTTTTGCCGCCGCACCCTCCGCGGAAGTTAGCTGTCTATAACAGCATGTCGATACTCAATATGATGTCACGGGTATGATTCGCCCCCGCTGTAGCTGGTGTTTGTGGAGGCTATATTTCTCTCTTATGTCTGTGTCGCATCCCTCGTGTCTTCATTAACATGGCTCAGCTCTATGCTAGTTGTCACATGGCATGAAGGCTATAAAGCTTAGTCACACGTTAACGCCCTGATGTTGTAGTATAGAGCCCGAAGTTTGAATATATGTGGCAATGCCTGCAATAGACGCAACAGCGCACTCACCGTCAAGTGTGACGAGCCGCAGCTGGCCCAGCATCGGCTTCCAAGGCTCCGGCAGCAGCGTCTTGAACTTGTTGCGACTCAGCGTGACGCTTTCTAGGACAGGCATATTGTTGAACATATCCGCCGGCAAGGAGGTTAGCTCGTTGTCACTGCACAGAACCGAGGGAGCTCGTTCATACACTGCGTTTTATACGAGTGTTTTTTTTTTGTAGTTTCACTCCCAACTTTCAGCCAAATGCGCCCTTGCACACTGCATTGGTGCGAGGATACTCGAGGCGGGTAAGAAGCTGCATTCATGGGGATCATTATTCCGGTGAGTATAATTCTTGAAACTGAAGAATATACGTTCTGGCATCACAGGCCTCGTTAAGAATGCTTTTGCAGTTTCTTTCGCCGGGTGCTCACGTGGAACACCTCGCTTACTTGACGTTTGAAACACATTCTAAAGAAGGCCTACTGGCTTATTATACACGTAGTGTGGCAAGAACCATGCAGTACAATAAAAAAAGAAGAAAACAAAGAACCACAGCATGCGACTTCGCATCATGCCGGAAGAGCTGCGCTGCTTTTTTAATCCTGCATGTCTTGGCTGGATATAGATTTCAGTACGCGGAGCAGCGTAACTTGACGAGGCCCAAGGGTAAGCATACATCAGCGCAGGGCAACCAGCCCGGCAACGTGCCCCAGATTTCACGACACATGGAGGGAATCTAACCTCTGTTAAAAAAAGGTATAAAACCAGACAACTCCCTTAGACCTGCTCATGTTATACTTTTTCCAATAGAAAAAGAGCAAAACGAAAAATGCAATAGGAGTGACACATGAAGGATGTACCGACTCTCAACTGAGTGTTACTTGAACATAGCGCGGACGTAAAGCGATGGCAGTAACATGCAGAACCCTAAACCACTGTTGCATAGAACGCATGTCATCGACAGGCACGTGAAATCAGCGACACTTTTCACACGAAGAATCACAATGATGTCTGCATTTCCACCCCATTTATCTATCTTCGTTGTTGTGCATTGAGCCTGCTCGAAAACATGTAGTGAATAAATGTGCGCATGCAGTCGTTGCGTATTCTTTTATTTAAAGGAGTACTGACATGAAATTTGAAAATTTTCGGATTTCTGCTGTGAATAAAAGGACTGGTATCGAGGACCCAGGAAAGTATATTCTGGTGCCTCGAAGCGCATTGAATATATTTTAATACCACTTTTTCTAAACCCACTTTCGGTTTTGAAGGAGTGGCTTCACAGCGACATATCAAGTCAGGCTGACGTATGTCTCAGTGACGTGGGGTCTGAGTTATTCGAAGAAAATCATGATGTACCAATGCGGCTCTATCGTCTGCTGGAAACAGAGGCGCCTGCGTGTGGGCTCTGATACTGCATTTCCATTGCGACGTTGCGTTGAAGCAGCGTGGAGCGTGGGCACAGCTTCTGGCTCCAGATATCGCTTCTTTGGCAGCGCGATGCCAAACTCAAGAAGGTACCGATGTTTCCCGATCCGGTAGCAGTCGGGGCCGAAATGCAGCGAGCGAATTCGGCTTCGCTTGGCTGGCGTCCAGTCGCAGCTGCGATCGTGTCGCACAAAATCTACCCCACTTGTCTCACCGCTGGGTCGTTCGAGAAACTGTGCACACTAACGTCACCCCTGGCCTTGGAATCACAGCCTTTGATGGCACAAGGAGTGGGTAGCATCGCCAAACAGGAATGCGGTGATCGGAAAAGCAATGAAATCACACTCGCATCCCTTTACATACAACAGGAGTGTCTCAGCGCTCGATCACTGTCGATGTGACCACGAAGCGTCGCAGCAAAATGGACAGCGCACAGCACAACCCCGATTGACGCCGGTCGGTGGCGCACCGCTAGACAGGCAGTCGAGAAGGTGCGCCGGTCGCGCTTCCATTTTATTTTTGTCGTTACTCCAACGCACGTTCATTTACATGACGTCAGAGTTTTTTGCTACGTCACTTAATGTCAAGCACGTTGCCTGATGGTGGAGCTGCCTTGCAGGAACCGGGAAATGAAAACGTTAAAATAAATTTCAATGTTTTATTCGTGTTTCGCGGTTCCGGTGTGGGGAAAACGTTAACATTACATTTTAAGCAAAAGAAAAACATCCGTTTTGCCGCACCTCAAAATTGCGTCAGTACTCCTTTAAGTTTCAAAGGCGGTAAGCGACGGGCCCGAAGCTGCAAAAGACGCGTTTAGAGCCTTTGAATGGCGGAAAAAGCTTTGTAGCGGATCAGTCAAAACAAGGCCCTTTGACTTGTGGCACTCGATCATTTCTTCGATACGGACCGTGGCGTCAATCGTGTGTTAGAGCTCGTGTTGTCCAGTTCTTTGGTCTTCGACCTCATGCTTTGTTTGTGCCGCAAGCTAGCCTATAAATTAGCCTGGATGCCCCGCCGCGGTGGTCTAGTGGCTAAGGTACTCGGCTGCTGACCCGCAGGGCGCGGGTTCGAATCCCGGCTGCGGCGGCTGCATTTCCGATGGAGGCGGAAATGTTGTAGGCCCGTGTGCTCAGATTTGGGTGCACGTTAAAGAACCCCAGGTGGTCTAAATTTCCGGAGCCCTCCACTACGGCGTCTCTCATAATCATATAGTGGTTTTGGGACGTTAAACCCCACATATCAATCAAATTAGCCTGGATGTATGGTACACTTCTGATTCTGCCTTGTTGTCTTCTAGGCAGTAGATATAGCGTCCTATTCCTTCCACAACTTCATCTCCGTGACTACTCACAGCTTAACCTTAACGATCTGCGCAGCTTCTGTGAGAAAACAAACTAGTGAGCGCATAAAAGTGGTTTCATGGGAAGAACAAATGTTGCATATAACCAGAGCGAAAGGTTACCGATGCACCAATACGACCGAGGCAAAACACAAGAGGCCAACACACGGGGCACGCAAGCACTGATAAAAGCAACACTAGGATAACAGCGTCGTTTTCTTTCCCATTCAAAATCTTCAAGAAAAGTACCGCAACAGATAAAAAGGCAAGATAATGAAACGGGCACAATGCCCTAAGCTGCAATGTTTGAAACAGAACACCCAGCTCCTCCTCGATAAGTGACAAAAATCAAGCATTGGTGCTTCGACTGGACGCGCAGGTGGTCGAAATGCTCGGCCTTCTCCAAATTAGGCCGAATAAAAGTACATTACTACTTCTACTTCAAGCACTACACTATCTCACGTATACTGTGGCCCTCACCTTAGGCTATTTGCAGTGTTTGCAATTGCAATCAGACGAATAGTCGCAGTCTACATTGCCACATGCGATCCGCCGGCCTTTGTTAAAGGCCGTAGTTTGGACGCTTTTCCTGTGGACGTCATTTTTTGGGTGCAGATTTCTGAGTAGCGTTGAGACAATTATTTTGCCTGTGAATCCTCGGTAGACTTCAATGTACTCGTGTTCTTTAGTAATTACGTTAATTCTGGTATTCATGGGAAGCAAGAGGTTTGCATCCCCTCACGCTTGACTAAGAGAACATAAGCAGATGGAGAATCGCAGGCTCCTTGTTCTTCCACGCAACTGAAAGAACACTGAAAATATGGATTCACAATGGCGTAAGAGCAGCGCAAAAAGACGAAGACAAGAAAGCGAACACCACAAGCGCTTACTCACAACTCAAACATTCATTGCTTGAACTGGAAAATTATATCTAAGCATGAGCCTCGTGGGCAAGGCAAAAGGCAAAAACCAGACCAAGTACACACCTCCTCTAACCCGCCCCCCAACCAGACTTCCCCCTTTCCTTGAGAACAGGGGAGGGCTCGGAACGGCCGTAGCAGTAAAGTATGGAAAGTGAAGCGCAAACAGGGTCATGCCACTTGTAGCGCTGCGTTCGGTAGTCTGCAAGGTGCTGCTTCTTAAATTTTGCTCGTGGTTGCCCCAAAGTGGTGCCGAGGTAGAATGCCCGCTTCCAACCTAAATGGGCAGGGTACAAACCACGGTACTAAATGATGAGTTTTCACTCTTTAGCTTACCTTTTCTGTATTGTTTTTGTCTGCTTTTTAAAACTAGCTTCAGTCAGTATGAATTGTTACGAAAAGGAAGTTGAAACATGAAGCAAAAATAGAAGACATTTCCTGTTAGCGCAATGATTAACAACTACCGTAATTACACATGAAATTGGGCCACATATCTTGGGCCAATGCCACTACACCTAAGTTCTAGTACAATAGAAGGAAGTTAACCTAGTTGAGAGCCAATGAATACTTGATCTTTACTTATATTTTGGTCAACACGCAGAGAGCAAGTTATTTCTTATGAAATTACGCTGCAGAGCTCGAAAACTAAATTACTGCGTGCATATAGCTGGTCAGGCTCCTTCCCCTTTTTGCTCATTAGTAATAAGGATGAAACAAACGAGCAATTTTTTATCATGTACTCACTTCAAGTTACTGAGAAAAATCATTCTAAAGCGGCTTCTTCAAATTATATTCGATGTTATCATTTCTATTATTCTATCATTGGGAGCCTTTTCATTAAGTCATTGTCACCGGAATACCTAATCTGCTGTAGAAATATTCCTAATCGAATCAAGGTGATTTTTATGGCATACCATTGAATTTATATTATTATTTGAGAAATTCTAGTTAATTTAACCATCTTTTAATTCAGCAGATATACATTTATTATGTGATCTCCTGTATCTAATTACTCATGTCTTGGCCGATCCTCTAATCTGGGTGTGAGCCATGCATTTAGGCCATCATCATCAATCTCTCAGGGTGGATATTAGCCGGAAGTTTAGCATCCACATCTACATAATTACGAAGCGATGACCAAACACCCTGACTACATACGAAGTAATAACAGGTGGCTGTGAGAAGACACCGAAGTGATTAAAGGCCTACAGCGGCATGCCCGTGTCTGTGTGACTGTCTGTAAGCACATCATTGCCTGTGTATGGTTTTCCTCAAACCTCTCGCCGCTGAGAATCAACGTATATAAACAACTGAGCATCACCTAGCCTATGTCCAAACATTGTTTTTGTGTGTGTGTGTGTGTGAGTTCATGCCACGTCGCACGTGATCTTAAAGGGGCCCTGCAACACTTTTTGAGCTTGGTCACAAAGCGCTGTCGATTGGTAATAGAGGCTCCAGAGAACACGTGAGCCAAATATTATAGCGCAG